AGAGAGAGAGAGAGAGAGAGAGAATGTGCCAATAATGAAAAAGTAATGAGCAAATGTTGCAGAAGCTTGTAAGGAGAAGACAAGACTTTGACAGACAGAACAACGATGACAGGACGAGACTCAAGCCAGGTGAACGACAGATCAGTGGTCCAGAGAAAGAGAAACTTTAAGACAGAATCCATTTCCAAAGGCTTTCGGGGAAATTAAAGGATCAGTGTAGCTGAAGACATTGCACATATACCACTCAGAACATTGGGACTGATTTCAAACTAATTTTTTGTGGGAAAGAATGTAAGTGTATGTGTATATAATTATAAAAACAAAAACAAATAAATAAAATGAATTATAAAAAAAAGATAAAGCATGTGAATGAATACTAATAAATCTTTATATGACTTGTTTTGAAAAAAATCTATGTAAATGGCTTAGCAATATCAGTGTGTAAAGTATACAGTATCTAACAGGGGGTCATTGCTCCATTTCTCTATCCACCAAGGGATCCTTGGCCTTTAAACCTGTGCATGCCTCCATCACCTTTATAGATCCATCCACAGAACCCACTTGCAGTGTCCATGTCTGATTGCTTTATAGGCCCCTGTAGGACCAGTGAACACAACATTTAACTCTACAGCCATCATGCCAGACCCACTTCCTGCCTGCAAATGAAGTATGTTTTTCAAAGTGCCCTCTGTAGACTGCTGGACACATAGTTCTCCGTGACATAAGGTCCCTGTGGTGCGTGCGGCAGGTCGTATCAGGGTCACGCTCGGCTGAACAAGAGGAGGCGGGTCTTGTTGACTGGCTGACATGTTTTATGTATGAACACATTTACCATTACGGCAGGATGTCAGTGTGCTGTAAATGTCAGTTTAGTGGATTGGGAGTCTGCCGCTCACAGATGGTTTTTACATTCAGGGGAGTGGACTAATGCTTGAACAGGGCTTTAGTGCAGTGTGGACGTGCTTTGGGCCAGAATTGTGTTGAGAAAGATTGTGATTTGACAGTAATCATAACTGTTATTTGTTTTTGCCTTTGCACTCTGATTGGTTTAGTTGAATGATCTTTGCTCTCCTGGGTCTCTGTTAGGCTCGTCCTCTATTGTAAAGCACTACTAGACAGACACATGACCTAGGACTGACCCTGATCAGAGACACACACTCCGTGCAGGACAGCCGCAATGTGTCCTGGGTTTTTAATTGTCTTTTGGGGTGGGTGAAAGCAGTGGGAGGAGATGGTTTAATGTGAAACCTGTGACGTCAATTAGTATTTCATCTGATTTTATTGCTCTGAGATGACCTTTGACCTGATCAAAACCCCTTTAGTCACTGTAATACTGTTTAAAGTCTAAAAAAATCTATCATATATATAATAATATAGTAATCTATAATGTATGAAATATATATATATATATATATATATATATATATAAAGAAAATGTACTAATATATTTTATATTACTAATAATATTTTTAATGTAGTATAGAGTGTAATGTATATATATAATAATACATAAAAATATATAAAAAGTATATAAAATAATATAAAAATTCACTACAATATAAAAATATTATTATACAATATAAAATTATACAATATATAATTAGTTATATTACATGTATTATATACGATATACAATTTGTTTTTATAAAATAATTTATTATTTTAATTTAATTTATTATAGAATATAACATTATCCTTAAAAAAAAATATATATATATATATATTACAATTGTTTCGATGATTACAGTTGTTCTCATGATTGTATGTTTTCCTCTTTCTCTGTCAGATTCGTGTTGATGGTCCTCCTCAAGGTGGCGTCCAGTATGAAACTCTGCCGGTCATCAAAGATGGAAGCTCTATTCTTAGAGACATGGCCTTTTCCCTGGACAACAGCTACATCTACGTCATGTCGGAGAGACAGGTCTGAATATATGCATGTATATGCTTTCTCCTCTCGTCGTCTTTCATCCATCCATAACAGCTGTAGGACGGAGAGAACGTGACAGCATCCTCTAATGAAAGAGAGCAATGGGAAGAGGGTAGAGTAGCTGTGTCAGTGAAGGAGAGAGTGATGGAGGGACAGCTGAAGGAGGAGAGATGGAGTGAAACAAGGTCACTCTCTCTCGACAGCATAATGAAGAGAGAGAGATGGAGAGAGATCCTGCTCATATAATATCAATACACACAACACTTCCCATGGGATGCATTGCAGAGTAGAGTTGGGCGGTATGAGTCATTTTATATCACAGTAACCCTGTACGTCACAGTATTATGGAAAACCCACTTTTTGCCTCAGAGTAAAAAAAGGTAAGTGTGACTATTTCTCAATAGCAACTTTAGTT